CCGCTGCTGCTGCTGCTGCTGCTGCTGCTGCTGCTGCGGCAGTCAGCGGCGGAAGTGCAAGGCCGCAATGACACAGACAGACAAAGATGCTGCTGGCTAGCTAGCAGCTGGCCAGCTAGCTAGCTGGCTAGCTAGCCAGCTAGCCAGCTAGCTAGCCAGCTAGCCAGCTAGCTAGCTAGCCAGCCAGCTAGCCAGCTAGCTAGCTAGCCAAGCACTTAGCTAGCTAGCCAGGCAGTTAGCTAACTAGCAAACTGGCCGTTTGACAAGCCAGCCAGCCCGCCATTTGTGTCTTGTTTGTCTCTTTCTTTTTCTCGTTTTAATTTAATTAATTTAATTAGCTTAATTAATTTAGTTTAATTAATTCAATTAATTTAATTTAATTTAATTTCCTAAAAACAAATACCTGGCAATTGCGTAGACGTCCAGAAAGAGCAGCACCCGCCCCAAAACATGTTCCGGAACTTTCATTATTGGACCAGGAACTGCTGCTGCTGCTGCTGCTGCTGCATCTGTTGCTGCTGCTGCATCTGTTGCTGCTGCTGCATCTGCTGCTGCTGCTGCATCTGCTGCTGGTGCTGTTGGTGCTGCTGCTGCTGAAGATGATGGTCCCGCGTGCGCGTCTGCTGCTGCAGCTCCCTCTTCGCGCCGCCCAGCCCCCCTCCTGCTGCTGCTGCCGCTGCCGCTGCTGCTGCTGCTGCTGCGCTGTGCTTCTGCGTGTTTGTCACTTTGCTGCTGCGAGCTGCTGCTGGGGAATTGGACTTCTTTTTCAAGTTTTGATTCTTCTTCTTCCAAACTGACGAGGCCTTTGTCGAGCCCCGGATTCAACTTCAGGGCCTGTCTGTACAGCCCAATGGCCCCAGACAGTTTGCCCTGGTTTTCGAATTGAAGGCCTGCGGGGAGAATCGGCATTTTACTTAAATTCAATTTTCAATTTAAATTCAAATTTAAAGTAGTAAATTTAATTTTAAATTCAAATATATTCATGCACACAGGGGCTGCATGCACTGGGGCCTTAAGAGGGGCTTTTGAATATTTCTCAGAGTCCAAAATTGCACTTTTATTAGCCTGAAGGCCTAAGGAGAAACAGCTGCGGCGGTGTCTAGGGCTTAGGGTTTAGGGTTTAGGGTTTAGGGTTTGGGGGCGCAGAGGACCTGGTGTTGGGGTTTTCAGGAACCCTGTAGAGGGCGTAAAGCGCGCGATGTAGGGTTTAGGGTTTAGGGTTTAGGGTTTGGGGTTTCACCTGCTTTGTAGAGCGCCAGGGCGACAGAAGTGACGGAGTGTTCGGGGGGGTCTGCAGAGCTCTGAGGCCACTGTTTGTCATTCATTTCTCTTTTATTTTCATTTTGGAACTTCTGGCGATCATTTGACTCTTCATCTGCGGCAGAAGAAGTGCGGGAAGGAGCGGAGGACTCGCTGGGAGGACGCGAGCGCTGAGGTGTACGTACACCTGACGAGTCGCTCATGGCGGCCGAACGCGAAGGAAGAACGCCACTTTTAAAATTCTGAAAAGCAATTTGCGTCAAGAAAGAAGAATGGAGAGTGTGAGGCGAAGAAAGGGCTGGCGTGAAGCGAGAAAAGGGGACCGCAGGTGACCAGCGGGACTTCGCCTCGGGTTCTGCGGATTTCGCGGGGAAATGAAGCGGAAATTAAAAAACTTGAGACTTTTCTTGTTTATTTTTCCCCTAAAATTCAAATTTAATCTTTTTTCCCACTTTTTCGCCTCGCTGCAGCCAGCCGTGGCCTCAGAGTTGTGTGTCTGTCGGACTGCGCTGCTGCTGCTGCTGCTGCTGCTGCTGCTGGGGGGCAGCAAAACAGCAAGACCTGCGTCGCGAGCTGCGCATTTAAATTAAAATGACTTTTAAATTCTTTTATTATTTAAATTCCAATTTTAAATTCATTTTTAATTCAATTCCCTTTTTTGTCCCTTTTGCTTTTCCGCACCGCAGAGGCCACAAAGCAGTTCAACTTGAATTTGACTCTTGCTGCACCACATAAGGAGATCTCAACTTCAAAGACCGGCCCCTAAAAAGCATTTATTATTTATCTATTTATTTATTTATTTGTTTATTTATTATTTATTTGAATCAAGTCATTTGTCCAACTCTGCTGCAAGCTGCAGCAGCAGCAGCAGCAGCACAAGAGTTGAGAAATGGAAAGGCCAAATCTAAACTACTAAAGAGCTCTTCAGACTTTTGCCTCTAAGGGCCCCCAAAGCTTTGACAGCAGTTACTCTGGCTATTATTATTATGACTATTATTATTATTATCATTACTTTTATTATTATTATTACTATTATTATTACTATTACTATTATTATTATTATCATTATTACTATTATTATTAAGCTGTGGCTATTAAATTGATTATTCAAGAAGGGCATTTGTGGGAGTGGCTTTTCTGGATTTGAAGAATTCCAAAAGTGGAGAAATAAACACAAGTCCTGGGCCCCGGTTGCAAAGGCTATTTTCTTAATTTAATTGTTTATTCTTTTGCAAAATAAACGTCACAAATAAACACCATATCTTTGTTTCTTTAATTGTCTATTCTTTTGTTTAATAGCTCTTCATTTCTTTTCCCTTAGTGCGCAAAGTAACGCCGAAGTGAAATGAGACCAGTTTCCGAATATTCATTTTGCTGCTGCTGCTGCTGCTGCTGCTGCATGGATGCATTCGCAATGCTGGAGGCATTAAAACATCAAAAATGACAAAAAATAAACTAAATAATTAACATTTTGTCATTTTATTTTACATGAAGCTCCACAATTGCCTGAAAGCTGCACGCGCGGGCGAATTCCTGCGGTGTACGTACACCTGAAAAGTGCGGTTTCTGCACTGGATCCTGTGGCCCGGAAGGTGAAGTGTGAGGATGTTCTGCCTACCAGTGAATTGAATTTAAATGCCATTTGAATGATCGATTTTGGCAAATAAAGTTTCACAAATTCCCCTTTGCTGCGCCTTGCAAAAGGCACTCGCTGGAGCTGTGCAGCCGGCAGCAGCGCCTCGCCGCAGGGGGAAGAGAAGCTTCCAAGGCAGTTAAAACTGAATTGAGGAAACAATGGAAAGTTAATTAAAGCTTTTCGACAACAAATTCAATTTAAAACTGCTAAGTGCTGAACTCTGCGGCTGAGCGCGGGCGTGGAGAGAGGGAGCGGCTGGCGCTGCGGCTCTCCGCCCAGCAGCAGCAGCAAATGGTTCGAGTGAACTGCAGAGCAAATGAACTTTGCTTTGAATTACTTGTCTTTCATTCAAATGATCGGACTCAGAGGCAGCAAGCAGCAAACGCGAAGCCAAAGCCAACTTGAACCCAAACTCCCGCGACACCCAAAAGGCCGTTTCCCGTGCTCAGACCTTCCCTTCGCCGCCCAGCAGCTCTGCAGCACAACCCCCCAAAACGCTTCCCCCCGCCGTCCGCCGCCGCTGCTGCTGCCGCTGCTGCTG